ATATATATATATATATATACATATATATGTATATATATATATATATATATATATATATATATATATATATATATATATATATATATATATATATATATATATATATATATAGCAAAAAGCAGTTTTAATACCTACTCTACGAAACTCTCTTTTAAGTATAATGCTTAATTTTGGTATCCATGGTAGTATGACAATTTTCCATGGTAGTATGAATATTTTATTCTGAACATATTTTATATGCTCTTGAAAGAAAACCTTTAAAAATAAATATATTGGGTGAAATTGAAGAATGTGGTTTAACTAATACATTAATGATTGCTTGCTTACGATATATTGAAAAATTGTATTTATGAAGAAATTGATTGGTGGAAATACAAATGTCTAGAAAATTTAGTTGACTTTGAGAATTTTGGTATTCAATAGTATACTAAATAGCTGTATCTTGTGTATTTAAAAAAGTACCTTTTTTAAGTTATTGGTGCAGTATTGAAGCTTAAATTTTCTAACCGATGGCATTTTAATAATTTTATCCTGCATTATTATAATTATAATAACTAAATAATAAATAAACTAAACTGGGCATTACTTAGAATTTTTTGGATAAATTTTTATTTTGACTTTGTTTACAGGCAAAAGCTGTAAAAGTAACCTATTTAAGCATTGTTATCAATATTTTTTTAATCCTTTTTTACTCCCAATAAGGCTTCAAGCAACCACTATCAAGTTGTGAGTTGCTAGAAAAATAAAGTAGAGTTATAGAGCAATGAAACAGTTGACAGAAGACTTGAAAAGTTGAAGGTTGTATGAGTCAGCAAAATATGAAGATGGGACAGAGTTCCGAAGGGTTAAAGTGCGTGGAAATAAGCTAGACAAAGAAAAGTTTTTGGAGCATGAAGAGACAGATACAGTTGAAGAATGAGACTTTGATGAATGACAAGTCAAGCAAGAATGAGTTTTGGTTGATGGAACTAGAGATGAAAGTTCCTTTGAGCAGCAACCATGATAGAATTTGTAGAAAAGAGAAAGAGATGCAACTTTACTGAGATGGGAAAGAGGCCCAAGCTTAGCAGATAGACCGGGTCCAACTCTGTTTACAATGCGTTTTTGGACCTTGTCTTGAAGAGAAAGAACATCATTAGAAGACAGTATTCCATACAGGAACGAATAAGAGATTTGTAGAGGTAGGGAATGGAATCAGGAGAGAGAAAATGGTGAGCACGATAAAAAGAAACAACCTTAGCAGAGCAATCAATTGTATATATTCTTTCCATGAAAAGTCGGTAGTAAATAATAATCCAAGAAGACATAAAGAAGTGGAATCAGTGAGAGGGTTGCCATTCATCAATATAGGAATGTCAACAGTACTGCAATAGTTATTTGTCTGACAGCAATTTATTTGACTAAAGATGGAATGTGAGAAATTTGTTTATCAAAGACTCAAAGACCTTGCTGATAACAGAAAGAAGACTGATTGGACAATAATCGGAGAAGTCAGTATGTTTACCAGAGTTTTTAAAAATTAGAACAACAGATGCCATTTTCCAGCAGGCAGGAAAACAAGATTCTGTCAAGCTTTTATTAAATAGTTTAGAGAAAATAGAAAAGAGTTCTGGAGAACAATTTTGTAAGACCGTGACAGGAATGTTGTCTGTACAACAAGCCATAGAAGAGTTTAATCAAGATATGACTATGAGCAATGGAAGCTGAAATGGTTTGAATGTCTAACAATGGGTTAACCTGTTTAATTAGGACAGAAGGAAGAGAATGGCCATAAGATTTAAGAGTTGGATTAGAAGATAATTTCTTTGCAAATAGTTTAGCCTTATTTCATGTATTTAAGTATAGCCAAGTGCCAAGTATATTTCTATATTTTTAATTTTTTTATTTCAATTCACCTCCCTAAGGCCACGAAGGCCACTACAATTGAGGAGGCTTCTTTAGTTATGGTTATAACCCCTTCTCAACTTTATAACTCAGAAACACAAACCTTGATGAACAATGCTGCTGCGTGTAGAAACAAGTTAAGCGCTGTACTACCAGGGACGTTGTGGGGATCGAACATCACAAAACTAAATAATTCTAAAAACAATTTATTTATCTAAAAATAATTTATATGTCAAAACAACATATGATTGTTGTTTAGATATCTAAATTACTAATAAATTAAATAAAGAATTCTAAGTAACCTGCATATAATTTTTTTCTTTTTTTAAAATAAAACTAAAAAGCGTTCCTCTAAAATTGTATTTATTTTTTTGAAAGTTTTCTTTTTATAGTAGAAAAAAAATTAAAATGTATATTTTTTTAACTGAGTTTTTTTAATATCTTTTAAAATATTTTTTTGGCTTTAATTTGGGTCCAAGTATTTGTTTAACAGTAACAGGGGTGTGGAGTCGTAAAAAAAAAGTAGCTACTCCGACTCCAGTTGTTGAAAATTTTTGAGTACAACTCCGACTCCAATTCCAGTTGTAGAAATTTTTTAAGCACAACTCAAACTCCA